TTTAAAGGAGGGAGGACAGACGGTAGTGACTCTTTTTATTTGAATTGACAGTCAGTACATTTGTCTGTGAAGGTGGACCTGATCACTCCATTCATTTGAAGGTWTTTACATCCAAAGCACAGGTTGACAGGAGAAGAATGTGATTCTKCTGCCTCCTGCTGGAAGAAAATAGAAACAGCATATGTGTCTCGGCATGATTTTATCTGGAGTGTCAGCAAAATATCTCATCCACAACTGGATGGATTATAATCAGACTCTCAGAATGTAATCATTGGATATAGATCTACAACTGATAAACTTCTGGAATTGATATAAAATAGCACATACCCCTCAGTTTAAAAATTATTTACATTTTCATCATTGAGCCATGTCTCTGAGATTATTGAACTTTTTATTTAATTGTTTTAAATAGTATTTTATTTTTGTTAAATCAGTATTCATACTTTTATTGAAATGAACAATAGAGAACTCTTTATTTTAGTATCATTARATTACTTTTCATTATAATATTCACAGTCTTTGATTACTGAAAAACAATAAATCATAAAAACTGATTCATGTGATCTTTTTTTAATGTATGTGTCTGTTAAACTGTGCATTTTATGTTAATTCAGCTCAATATAGTTGCCATAGATTATTGACCTTAGCAAACACAAACTGTGTGTAGCTGTTAGCTTTACAGCTAAAGTTTGGTGTGGTAGTAGCTGAGAGTCATTCCCTGCACATAGAGCACTAACAGATCACACAAAATAAAATAAAAATCAGGAAAAGCAAGTAATATTAGGGAAGGTGTTCCTCTATGCAAGAGATGTTGGTTCAATTCCACCAGTATTTGGTCACATGTTGAAGTGTCCGTGGGCACTGCCTCTGATGTACTGTATCCCATCAGTGTATGAATGTGATTTAAAGCACTTATTAGTCTYATTACTCTATGGATTGACGATTGATGGAGAAAGACTTCCGCACGGCTTCGAGGCGATTCTGGTCCAMCATCCGGCGTCTCAGGAGGGGGAAGCAGTGCAGCACCAACACTGTTTATAGTGGGGATGGTGTGCTGCTGACCTCAACTCGTGACATTGTGGGCCGGTGGNCCCCATGCCTATGATGGCACTTCACCAAGAACCACTGAAGGAATCAACACAAAATTATAAAATATTTACAAGACATGAGTAATTTTATTACAGTTATTTTATATCCCAAAAGCTGTGGGAAGGGCCATGGGGGTCGGGTGCATTGTGTGTTGGGCAGTGGTCGAAGGCGGGGACCTTGGCGGTCCGATCCTCAGCTACAAAAGCTGGCTCTAGGGACGTGGTATGTCACCTCTCTGGTGGGGAAGGAGCCTGAGCTGGTGTGTGAGGTTGAGAGGTTCWGACTAGATATAGTTGGACTCACCTTGCACTGCTCTGGCTCTGGAACCWGTCTCCTCCAGAGGGGTTGGACTCTCTTCCACTCTGGAGTTGGCCATGCTGAGAGGCACTGAGCAGGAGTGGGCYTACTTATTGCCCCCCATCTAGGTGCTGGTACGTTAGGGCTTATCCCAGTGAACGGCGGGAAGCGTCCCTCCGCCTACGTGTAGGGGGATGGGTCCTGACTGATGTTCGTGCCTGTGCGCCTAACAGCAGTTCAGATTACCCACCCTTTTTGGAGTCTCACCTAGTGGTGAGTTGGCTCCAATGGTGGGGTAGATGTCGTCAGACCTGGCAGACTCAAATGTATAGTAAGGGTTTGCTGGGAACATTTGGCGGAGTCTCCTGTCAGACAGAGCTTCAATTCACACCTCCTGGAGAATTTTGAACARGTTCCTTGGGAGGTGGGGGACATTGAGTCCGAGTGGGCCATGTTCTGGACCTCRATTGTCGATGTATCTTACCGGAGCTGTAGCCACAAGGTTGTTGGTGCCTGTCATGGCGGCGACCTTTGAACCCAGTTGGCAGTTTGCACCAACACTGTTCATGGTGGGGATGGTGCACTGCAAATCAGCAGTGATCCTGCTGATTCAGGAAGAGCAGTGTGGTTTTTGTACTGGTCATGGAACACTGGACCAGCTCTACACCAGCTTTACACCCTCAGCAGGGTCCTGGTCCTGTTAGGTCTCTGTATGACCAGTGTCAGAATTTGGTCCGCATTGCTGGTTGGATTCGTTTCCAGTGAGAGTTGGACTCCGCCAAGGTTGCCCTTTGTCACTGATTCTGTTCATTACTTTCATGGACAGAATTTCTAGGCACAGCCGAGGTGTTGGGGGGTCCTTTTTTTGGTGACCTTAGGATCGCATCTCTGCTTTTTGTGGATAATGCGGTCCTATTGGCTTCATCAGATTATGATCTCCAGCTCTCACTGGAGTGGTTCGTAGCCGTATGTGAAGCGGCCAGGATTAGGATCAGTGCGTCCAAATCTGAGACCATGGTCTTCAGCCGGAAAAGGGTTGGGTGCCTCATCCGGGTCGGAGAGGAGGTCCTGCCCCAAGTGGAGGAGTTTAAGTATCTCGGGGTCTTGTTCACGAATGAGGGAAGAATGGAGCAGGAGATCAACAGGTGGATTGGTGCTGAGTCTGCAGTGATGTGCGAGCTGTACCGATCCGTCATGGTGAAGAGAGAGCTGAGCCAGAAGGCAAAGCTCTCGATTTACCGGTCGATCTACATTCTTACCTTCATCTATGGTCACGAGCTTTGGTAGTGACCGAAAGAACAAGTTCGCGGACACAAGCGGC